ACACTGTTAGTAGTGTGTTTAACCAAGTAACAGCGAGCAAATAGGAGATATTTAGGCTCTATGCACACGGGGCGTTTTAATAACGCTGGTAGAGTTAGCTGTGTAAAGTTGCGTTGAAAACAAGAGTTTTTCAGCATTTTTTTTTGCATTTTTCCACATTTGCGTTTTTTTAGTGTTACTACACACAACATAATAAATAAAATGTTTGCTCAAAAAAATGCGCAAAAACACCAGTTTGCTGCGTTTTACCACGTTTTTATATTCGATTACGAGCGTTAGAGCATTTTTACAGCTAAAAACTCCTCTAGAAACCCACTAATTTTGTGTTTTTTTTTCCAGCCAAAAAACGCCCCTGACAAAAAAATGCTGATTAAAGCCTATGTGTGCATGGACCAGGGGCAGACTGACCATTTGGAAACTCGGGCACTGCCCGAGGGCCCGGGGTCAGTAGGGGGCCCCATGAGATGTCCCTGGTACCTTTTTCATAGGCTTTTTTGAGTTTGGGCAAGGACACAGGGGCCCCATGATCCCCTATTGCTTGGGGGCCCTATGAGTTGTCAGTCTGCCCCTGGCATGGACACATAACATGCTGGGAATTTACTGGCTGTTGAAAAAAACGGCAAAAGCCAAAAACAGCCGCTGTAAAAATGGCCAGTGTGTATGAAGACTAATGGTTATGGTTTACACTTTCAGGCTTTTTCGTGGATGTAGGTGATGGGAAAAACTATTTAACCATGGCCATTAGTTGCTTTTTTATTAAGGACAAGCACACTGTGCTTCATTGGTAGTGTTTACTGAACTGAAGAATTTAGAAGATGCTAGCTAACAATGACCTCAATGAGTATTAGAACAACCTCATTTCAAATTAGACTGCAATTCAGAAATATTCTGTATATCAGGGCTGAAACATATCATGGGAAAGCAGGCATGCCGCATCCAGTTGTATTAAGTTTTGTCAGTTCTGCAAAAACTCATCAATCAATAAAACAGTGGCTGATCTATTAATATTTATGTAATGTGAAATGAGGTGCTGCTACAACTAAGCAAGTTTTCTATAATTCATTTAAAACATTGACTATTTTTTTATTTTTTAATTTATATTGGCTTTCCATAAACACAAAATATTGTACAGCATGTACATATAAAGGACAGACAACAATTTACACGAATCAATTTAATATATGACTGCATTACAATAAAATACCAGGTAGTCATAGTATATACATAATTTACTATTCTATCATATGAGCCTAACGACTATATACTGTATATATGGTGAGTGACTTAATTTTACGCAGTATCCACGACTACATTTATAAATTAATAATCAATTTGTATGGTAGACTGTCATTCCAAAATTAATAAAACAAAAAAAATGATGTGCTAGTGTATCAGAAAAGGAATCACTTAGAAAGCATGTGCTCTACAACAAACTTGTGAATAGACAAAATAAATAACAAAATTCATGAAGATTCTAAAAAAGTCCACAACAAAAAAACTTCTAGAAAGCTCAAATGATTCCATGAGATCATGTCAGCCAATAGTTATAACATATTCGCAAGAGAAAGAAGAACTCTCATGATGCAGTAATTAAAAATCACGCTTTAGTAAAATTAGACATCTATTTACGAGGATAAAAGTATAAAAGGCATCAATGGTATTCAGCAATCAACGCCTCGGCGGGCATGATGACAACTCCGCTATAGCTCCACCCTATGTGGTATTTATTTAACCTGTTCACAAGTTTGTTGTACAGTAGAGCGCAATGCTTTATAAAGACTCTTGTTTATATATGAATTGAATAATTTATTTCTTTAATGCACTTTGGTATGCAACACACTTTGATTAAGTAGACTGTGATTCCAGCCAGGGGGACCAACATTTTTTGAAGTTTCAATGGGCATCCTCGAGCCTCATACATTAAAGCGGTTCTAAAGTCTAAACATTTTTTTACCTTAATGCATTCCTTGCATTAAGGTAAAAAATGTTTAACGTATTGCTGCCTCACCCCCCCCCCAATACTTACCTGAGTCAGCGGTATTTACCGTGAGGCAAACAAGGTATTTGCCTTGGGTGGCAGTTTTCAGGAGGGAGGCAGCACTCCCCAGAAGGCGTGTCAGGGACGGGGACCTGGTGAGGAGGCTGTATGCTGCTGGAGGTTGCGGGATGGCTGGCTACTTATTGTGCTGGTTAGTTCTTTTAACTGGGTGATCAGGTGTTGGTGGCGATGGTGACGAGGGGGAGGAATGGCAGGTGATCGGGTGTTTGTTAGTGGCAGGGGGGTGGTGGTGCTGGTTGGCGGTGGTGGTGGTGATGGGGGGTTGCTGCTGGTGGGGGGTGCCGATTCTTGTGTTGCTTAGGGCAGCACAAGAAATGAATACAACACTGACCTGAGTCCTCACTCGATCCAGCACTGTGCCTATCTGCAGCGACTCTCTCCTCTCACTTCCTGGTCTCACAGTCTTTGCTGAGGCAGCGGGAGCCATTGGTTCCTTCTGCTGAGTTGAGCCGCACTGTCTGTATCTATGGATACATGAAGTTCAGCTTTGGATTGAGCCTACAGGTGTGCCATGATAGGAAGTGACTTCCTGTGGTTTCACACCAAGAAGAGGAGGAGCCAGGAGTGCCAGCGTGAGATCTGAGGACAAGAGAATCAGGGCCACTCTGTACAATTCTATATTGCACAGAACAGGTAAGTATAAATCTGTTTGTTATTAAAAAATAATTGCATTTACAATCACTTTCATTTATACTTAGGGATAATTTGGTTGACCAGTCTAAGCTATTGAGGTAGAGTGGGAAAAAACCTGTGACTTCCACTGGATTGCCATAAGTTTCTTAGCCTAAACAAATACAATTGTAGAAGAAGTTTTGTATAATTAGATAAGTCTGAGTCCTCTAAAAACCCCAATAATTATTTAGAGAGAATCGTGTGCATGGAGAACGCCACAATTCCGAATGGAGTATGAGTACAGGTGTAGAATGGCCTCATCCAGCTCCTCTCAACAAGTCGAACCCTCTGACACATCTCACCCACCCTTCTGGGGCTTAGTCATAGAGATTTATGATCTCTATGACCTCTATGACTAAGCCCCGGATGGGCTGGATGAAACATGTCAGGGGGGCCTGGTTTGTGGAGCAGAGATGGCTGAGGCCGTTCTACACCTGTACTCTTATTCTGGTTGGGAGTGTGGCATTCTCCATGCACATGATTCTGTCATTGTTGGATAAGTGAGCCTGTATGCTGCCACTTCTATTTCTGAAGACCAGGGGGACTGAACTCTCTCCTTGCTTGGAGCGATGATCCAAGCTCCATTCTGGGTTACATATATTGGGCAGCTAGAGGATAGAACTTAAAAAGTCAGTGAGTGCAGAAGGTGCATATGACTGTATGATAGAATGTGCCATTGTCAGATGGAAATTTGGGGCAGGACAGTTTACCCACGTTAAAATATATTGGGACTGTATATTTTTAATGATTATTCCAATATTAAGGCAAACTGATGGGGCAGATAAAGAACTAAAAACTGAAATTCACAAACGTGTATGTAGAAACTTTTATTTGTGCACGGTTATACAGTGTTTTTCTATGTCATTCACTGCACAGCTTTGTAAAATATTATCGGTTAAGATATGTTTGCAGCATCAGGCAGCTGTTGTGGGTAAATTAGACATATTATCAACAGATCCTAAAATTATGGGCATATGTAATAACAGCTGGCAAAGGTGCCATAGGCTACCAAACACTACCTATCACTGTCGATCCCTGCAAAGACTCTAAAAGCAACATTATGCAACAAAAGGGTTGCCATTTTTTTTTCTTCCAAGAATAGGCACATATGGATGGTATAACAAACAGCTCTCTGTGGTGCTTGTAATTAGCTCTGGCTTAATAGGTTTCTTACAAAGACAAAAGAACTAAAGCTACTGGGTTTGGGCTGTAAGTCTGGTAACACTGGCTGGAAAGGATGGTGCATGATCAAATGTATTCAAAGTAGAACAGACCAAAAATAACAAAATAAAATGAACAGCCCATTGAAAGATAAAATAACAAAGCCAGCTTTTGTTGCACAATTCACTATCAATCTTGAGATTTTCCTCCATAGTACTTTTTTCTGCCACTAGATGTCCTCAGTCTTGTGGCCCAAATCCCGCTTCCTCTGAGCCCAAATCATCCTGAACCCTCCCCAACCTGTGCCTGGACAGTGGAAGGAGAAGTAGTACAGTGATGAGCTTATTTTAGGTGGACCTGATCGAACCCTCCATTACCCTTTATAGAGTTGTGGATGTAAATGGACTTGTGTCCAATCCACTAAAAACAGATGTAAGGGGATCCGTTCCTCCTCCGAATAGTGGTTCAGAATGGATGGCAGGCAGTTGTACACAGTTGGACACAGACCAGCCATCTGCTTGCTCAGCAGGGACCAGCGGACAGATTCCTTGCTGAGCAAGCACACTCGTAGTGGAGTCCACCCCGTTTGGAAGGGGCCTAACCAGGGGCGGACTGACAACTCATGGGGCCCCCCCGGGCAATAGGGGATCATGGGGCCCCTGTATCCTTGCCGAAACTCAAAAAAGCCTATGAAAAAGGTACCAGGGGAATCTCATGGGGCCCCCTACTGACCCCGGGCCCTCGGGCAGTGCCTGAGTTTCCAAATGGTCAGTCCGCCCCTGGGCCTAACTCTCTGTCACATTACTTTCTGTTCAGCATGCTTCCTATCAGCTTATAATTTGATTGTCTCCTTATACTGCTTCTTCCTCTGGCAGGCCAGCCCTGGTATGAAGAAACTGCAAATGGCTAACACAAGGTCAATTTCATGTGCTTACACTGGTTGTGTTGAAAAAAATTATATTTTAATAATTACAGAGCTGCATTCCTTTGTGTCTTTCCGTTCTGCCTAGAGTTCAACCTTAATTAGACACGATTTTCACAGTGATAACATACTAATTACATTTTGAAATTGTTGCTCTTCAATTTTCTATTTTTCTTTTTTTTTCAGATCGTCCTGGATTGTTGAATGTGAAGCCCATAGAAGACATTCAGGACACATTGCTACAAGCGCTAGAGCTACAACTTAAGATAAACCATCCAGACTCCGCCCAGCTCTTTGCTAAACTTCTCCAAAAGATGACGGACCTTAGACAAGTGGTGACAGAGCATGTTCAGCAATTGCAGGTTATAAGGAAAACTGAGGCCGAGATGAGCCTTCATCCACTATTGCAAGAAATCTACAAGGACTTGTACTGAACTTCTGACAACACCTTCATGACTTCATTAGCCGATCACTGCTAACATCTGCAATGGCTCTACAAAATTTTGTGTAGATTGTTAACTTACACTTTTTCTAGAGCTAAGACCTTGTATGAATATGATCAACATCTCAAGAGAGCAACAAGGACTTTCGAACCTGCGAGAGAAGCACAAGGACTTGTATTGATCTCCTTCATCTACTGGAGACCTACAAGACTTTTACCAACCCACTTCTACAAGAGGCCTGCCAGTACCTGTACCGAACTAACCTTTTTCTAATTATGTATTTTTACAATTTGCACTATTTTTATGAGGGAAAACAGTAAAAACATTACTGTGACAAAGCCTTAAAAGACACAAAGCTTTCATATAACTGGTCTATTTTATGCAACTGGTTTATAAAACACATGTACAATTACCTTTTCATATTAAAATGTGTTATAAAAGGACATGTGTGGTGGATTGATATTAATTTGTGACACGCTACTTTTTATGTGGGATGGCACAGAATAGAATTTGCCTAAATTGTTGCCCTACGTTCTTTCATTATAAGTTTGTATTTTTAGATACCCGAGATTTTACCATTGCATAGATACATCACTTATACATACAGTATGCAATAGATTCAAGCATCATTTGCTACACATATGGCCATCAATTTGTGGACACCTGACCAATGACATTACGCCTCTTTGAACTTGTTGCACATTCTATTCAAAAACCATGAGTATTAATATGAAGTTTTGTCCCCTTTCCCTTTCTGACTACAACACCTTCCACACTTCCACTAAGGCTTTTTTACAAGATGTTGGGAATGTGTCTGTCGAGAATTCATGCCCATTCAGTCAAAACAGCATTTATGAGGTCAGGTAATAATGTTGGATGAGCAGATCTGGCTCACAGTAGGGTTGATGTCTGGGCTCCATGTGGGCCACTCAAGTTCTCATACACTAAGCTTGCCAAATCATGTCTTCATGGAGCTGGCTTTGTGTACAGGACCATGGTCATGCTGGAACAGAAAGGACATTTCCCAAATAGTTGCCACATGGTTGGAAGCACACAATTGTGAAAGATATCTTTGTTTGCAGCATTAAAAGTACCCTTCACTGAAAACACAGGAACTTGATAATGTAGAGGGGTGTCCACATACTATGAGGATAGTTGTAAGCTTGATGGTGAAATTTCCACAGACTTTTGGCCATAATCTGCATAACTGGGACATGTGTGGGCTAACCCCTTAGTTAAAATGATTTTACAGTGGCTATTATTGACAAAGATATTGTTTTCTGAGTATTCCCTTTTCTGCATTACAGAAAATGGTCTCTTTACAGAAAAACTGCTATGCTGAATGAGGCTGAATTCTAGCAATACAGCATTCCTAAAGAGCATGGGCAATCTATCACTCATCCTTTTCTGAGAAATGTGCATATGATAGGCCCACCTCCACCCTACCCACAGGCCAGTTTTTAGCAGATAAAATCTGGGCTAAACTAAAAAATGGTGAACTAACCATTGTCCTGTTGTCCAGGGCACTTACTAATTACGTTTCAATGAATTTATAATGCAGTTGTTTCAACAAGAGTGACAGCATGGTGTCCTAAAGTTGAAATTCTTTTTTCAGGTCTCTGTCTACATGGGGATAGTATGTTTTGCCCGTGTTTTTGCAGGTTTTCAACATACTGGAAAAGTAGTTGGCGTTTGACTGCTTACTTAATCCTAGAACCTTTTTATTCTCTTTGCTGATGCCAGTCACCCAGCACATTGATAATGGTATATTAGCCAGAAAGGGTTAGAGGTAATGATGCTCAGATGGATTCTCACAGTCAGACCTACCCAGGGGTGGACTGACAACTCATGGGGCCCCCGGGCAATAGGGGATCATGGGGCCCCTGTGTCCTTGCCCAAACTCAAAAAAGCCTATGAAAAAGGTACCAGGGGCATCTCATGGGGCCCCCTACTGACCCTGGGTCCTCGGGCAGTGCCCAAGTTTCCAATGGTCAGTCCGCCCCTGGACCTACTGATGCTGTCCTTTAGTGGAGATCATGTGACCACCTATCACCTACCACCTCTATCATTTTTCACATGACCAGTAACTTATGTGTAAGATTTCAATGAACCCAGAGAAACTATATCCAACCTGTCTATACATTATGCTCCTTAGAAGAATTTCCTATGGAAAATCACATGTAGAATATAATTTTATTGTATAAATTTCCTTTAATAATGTTGTAGTAGGCATATACTCAGGTATAATCTTTTTTGCATAGTTACATTGGTCCAGTTTGGCACAATGTTAGTAAATATATATCATACCTGAGGGACCTCTGTGGATGCTGACAATCACTGTAGTAGTCACCACTACTACAGTGATCCTTACAATTTTTCAGGTCCTGTGCTGAATGGATTCCCTTCTGCATAGTGACCATAGGAGGTTGCCCACTTTCCACTTTCATTTTTTAATTAATACATTTTTTTTTTGATTGGATGAGGTTGAGAGACAGGGTGGTGATGTCACAATCTGCACCTCATCCAACTGCAGTACACTTTGTATTCAATTAAAGGAGCAAGATTGAAAATTTTTCCTGAAGGAATAAAATTTAAACAACGTATGCCGTTTTCGTTTGAAAAATTCCATTCATTCCAAAATCAAATGTTAAAAGCAAATGACATTTTGAAGTATGATTTGAAGACATTCATCAAGTAACTGATGGCGTTATTGAATGTGCTGATGTGATTTAACGTTTATACAAAAATCTATGACTGTCTTTAGTTTATACTATTTGACAACAACACAGTTTATTTTTTCCAGGTAGATCTCTCATGACGTAGGAGTGTTTGTAAAAGCTAAAGGAATTTTACCTTAATGCGTTCTTTGCATTAAGGTAAAAAGCCTCACAAAATCGCAGTGTCCCCCAGCCCCCTCTCTAACACGACCTGAATTCTGCATTGATCCAGCGCTGTACCCTGCTTCAGTTCTCCTCTCCCCTCTCCCTGCTCTCACAAGCTTGGCTACAATCGGAGGGTGGGACTGAGCCACATTGTTGTGTCTATGGATGCACACAACCTGGCTTGGGAGCAAGGCCATAGCGGCTTGCTATGGGAACACACAGAGAAGAGGAACTAAGAAATCCAGCGAGGGTCCCAGGAGAGGGGGTTTGGGGCTGCTCTGTGGAAAACCATTGCACAGAACAAATATGCCATGGTTATTGTACAAAAAAAAATCTTTAAAATCACTTTAATAATGCAAAATACACTGGACTCTGTAGATGACAGGAGTCTGCTGAAATTTTAAAGGATTTTGCCTTAATATACAAAGTTTTTAAATAACCTACTGTTCATTGACTACAAACGCAAGGCAGATTTTGTACAATTATCTGTGCAGACAAATGAGTTAGGCAATCTGTCTGGAAAAAGAAAATTGGTGAAAAAGAATTTATGAATGGTAAACACAAATAGGTTTAAGTTCATAATAGTTTTGTCAATAGTTTAGAATTAGAATAATAAAAAATTAGAATAATTTAGGCATTTGCATTGTAGTATGAATATATTACACTTTCAAAAACAATTTTGAGATGGCAAGATACAAAGAGATTATGAAATTGTTAAGCATGATTACAAGACCCATAAAAACTAAATGATCCTAGCTATGTGGATATCACTGTAATATATTTGTTATTTGTTTAGAATTAAAGGGGGACTAAACTGTGGAAATAGTACACAAAAAAATTACAGACATCAAGGGGCTAGCCTACATTTTTGTCTGTGGGCTCTCTTTAGCTGATCCTTCCCCCATTACTGGTTTACCATGCCTTGTTCTTCACTGTGCCTTCATATGGCAGTGGCCATCTCGGTATAGGCAGCGCTTTGCTTTCTCATGTCAGAACCTCCAGCAAGGAGAACAGTAGTGACATCACCAACTCCCACTCCAAAAAACTGTCAGTCAAAAGCAGCAGATCTCATACTACAGATATAAAGCTAGTCACAGGAGTTCCTAGGCACACATACTCGGAAGTGCAATATTATAATTTGTGAAAGATTCCAGACAAGGTACATTTTTCAGGGTACTGTGTAGGCACAATTGACACTTTTAGATGTTCCCTAGAACACTGCAATTTTTCACCTTTCAAGTTTGATTCCACTTTATTAAATCATTATATTTTATGGTTTTACAGTGTTTTATGATGGTGATATGAAAATGTGCCTCCACAGGTATATACTATAATAGTTTACTGTGTAGTAGCAGTTAAAATGAGAGATTTCACTTCCATGAATTTAATAGATAGCAACTTCATACCAGATTACTTTTATGAAATGTCTCTAATTGAATGTCTATAAATCTAAATAGTCCACCTCTTTGTTCAGTGCTATACCTTATATTATAATGCAGCTGATGCACAAGGTACGTGGTCAGAGCATGACCATTATAAACGCAGATTTGAAGAGAAGAAATTCTGGTCCCTGCTTATGTACCTAGTGTATTCTGTTAGAAAGGGAAGTGCCAGTGCTTGCAGTCTTCAGTATCCTATTTTCCTCCTTACATATTACATTAGGAGCAAAACATTTAAAAAATGTATCTACCAGGGGCGGACTGACAACTCATGGGGCTCCCGGGCAAGAGGGGATCATGGGGCCCCTGTGTCCTTGCCCAAACTCAAAAAAGCCTGGAAAATTTTCACTCGATCAGTGCTGCCAGCTATAGCAGGCAGTGCTGATCAGTGCATTTTGATGGTGGGGAAGCCTCCCTGCTGTGAGAATACAATAACTCCACAGGAGGGATTCCACCATCCACCTGGAATATGTGAAAGGGGGAAACTGTTTATTTACTTTTGTTCAACCTGTTGGTTGAACATAATAAATTGAATCATGTATGGCCTACCTTACCCCTCTATATGACCTGATGACCATTGTCACTGAGACAGAAATTGATAGGGAAAAAAGTGACAAAGTTTCCTAGTATGACAGCTAATGATCTGTGTGGGGTTTATAGACGGTTACCA